CTCTTCTAAAAAGTTGGGTAAAGGTGGCAAACTAATTATAGGAGTATCTTTGCAATTAAGAATTGATAGGGAGTTTGAAATGCTCTTTTAAATATGAATATAAAGTGCCACTATCGGCATATTCCAAGACTAAAGAGTGTCTTTTCATTGCATTTGCTGTATAATTTAAACGTATTAATAAATATTTAAAGAATTTTTACATCCTCTTTTCTAAAACTTACCGGTAGCTTCGCTTGTGATTCCAAAAATTCGTATAATATTTGAATGAAAATTGACTTCTTTATGTAATTTTATCTATATGGCATTTATAACAAATTTACCTAATTAATAAATCTTATTTAAATAATGATAATATATATTTACCTCTTTTACAATATTCCTCAGAGTCGTTTTATTATTATTAAAAGATTTCAAAGCAACATAACAGCCCTTATTTTTCCAATAAGCTTGCATAACTTCTCCAAATGCACCATTTCCTATTAATTGAAAATCTTGAAATTCCGAGTATTCAAAATGGTTGATATATTTATTAGCAATAGATTTTTCTAACCATTCTATATATTTTTTATTCGACATTTTTTTTATTTTAAAAAAAATTTCAAGTTCCGAAATTATAATTTTGGACAAGGAGAATTTAAGTTTAATTGGGTGCGCATCGAAATTCGTCATAGTAATTTTGGCTAAACTTTTATCCGCTATGACATATATTAGTAATTAAAATTTTAATTAGTTGATCCTTTTTTAGAAAACAACTTAATTAGGCATAAGAAACAAAATAATATAAATTTAATTAATTATTCAATTAATAAAATTAAATTAAGTTTAGAAATATAATGTTGATCCTTGAAATTTTTTTTCATTTTAAAGGTTTCTTCGCTTGTGATTCAAAAAATTCATATAATATTTTAATGAAATCGACTTCCATATGTAATTTTATCTATATGGCATTTAGAACAAATTTTACCTAATTAATAAATCTTATTTTAAATAATTATAATATATATTTGTACTTCTTTTACAATATTCTTCAGTGTCGTTTTATTTTTATTAAAAGATTTCAAAGCAACATAACAGCCCTAATTTTTCCAATAAGCGTGCATAACTTCTCCAAATGAGCCATTTCCTATTAGTTGAAAATCTTTGAAATTCAGAGTATTCAAATGGTTGACATATTTATTAGCAATAGATTTTTCTAACCATTCAATATATTTTTTATTCGACAATTTTTTTACGTTAAAAAAAATTGAAGTTTCAGACAATGAGAACTTTGTAAACAAAATTAGGGGCGCATCGAAATTTGTCAGTTTTATTGGCTAAAAGTGATTTCACGTGATCATTCAATTAAAAAATATGAGTTAATCAAAAAAAATAATTTTTTATGAATCTGTTGTACCTCAAATGCGTTGATGTCCGAAATAAGCATTTGGGATATCCCTAATAAGAATGCGCAATTGGGATATCCCAAATGCGAAAGATCGTTCGGTATTTTAAAACTTTATTTTATTTAAATTGTAAATAAAAATGTAAACAAACTTTACATTGGCATTTGGATATCTGAGATGTACAACGTGCATTTGGGATAAATGCGCATTTCGGGCAAGCGAATATCCCAAACAACCTTCACGTTTGGGATATCTCAATTGCGCATTTCAGACATTAACACATTTGAGGTAAAACAAATTCGAATAGATAAGAAGCTCAAGATTTTATTTGATCGCTGCGCCGCGAATTGTTTGAACCTAAAACTAAAAAATCGAAATAATCGAAAAAACTTGACATAAAAAAAAATCGGTGTGGATCGATTAATCTATTCTAAAATAGATTTAACTTTTTTGAATAGATTAAAATCCCTACCCGTGTAATTGATGAGATTATAAATATTATTTTAACAGTGAATTAAGTAAATTTATTCATTGTGTTTTAGAATGAATATTCATCTATTATTAAAAACACCTTTATTTGTCAGTTTACGACTGGCAGTATATTAGAGAAATAGTTACGTCTGAATTTTTTTAAAAAAAAATGATGTCATCACAGTTTTTTTTGAAATTAAGCCAAAATTATATTGAAATATTGGAAGATAATGAGTATTATGATATTAAAATTGAAGTTGGGAAATTCCAAAACATAAAATATTCCGTGCTCTTGTAAATATATTATGTTACCGTTCGCCATATTTAAGACGAACCTTTGATTAGTAATAATAAAATAATAATAATAATGTCATATATCACATCAAGTTGCCAAATATTTTGCCAAAATTTTTAAAAATATTTTAAAGTAAATTACTTTTTTTTTAATTGATTTGCTTATTATTAACTTTAACCGCAAATTTTTATGTCAAAGATATATTTATGGTGGGAACGGCTTTAGGTTTGGAATTCCTGTTTGAGCTGCTATATAACATTACAATTTTTGCATAATTTAAGGTAGATTGCTCCACTCGTTTCATTAAAGCTTTAATTGCATCATTACTAGATAGATGAGAAGTTTATCTTATATAATATGAACCCACTTCTGCGGTTCTTGCTACCCTGATTGCAGTATCCAAATAATTCGGATCTTCCATCGCTACTTTCGCGGCAAGACTCGGTTTTAACCATTCAAAAATAATCTAATTTGATAAACGTCTGGTAAGGCATTTTTTGGATCCACAATTCTCTTAAGGTTAGCAAACTGGCACTTTAAGTATATACATTCTCGTTTGATAGTTGTATAATATTAGATAGCACATGATGCCATTATTCTTTTGTGCTGTAGTTGCAAAACGTCGTCGACATAAAGCTACAAAGCTTGTATCTCTATTACCTTCATGGTTCTAATACCTCAATACTCTTTAACATTGCTGATGTTTCGAAATGTTCATTCTTCTGGGTCTTCACTGTCATTTCCCCAATGGTTTTATGGTTACTATGTTCGATTCTCTAGGTAATTGTACTGGCCTTGAGTTTCTTAATTCTTGTGCGATTGTATTGAATGAGGATCGCATTTACTGTATAATCGTCCAGTATTCAATGTTTCGTTTGTTCTTTGATATTCTCTTAGATATTCTCTTTGTCTACTTCCTTGTCCTTCTTGTTCTATATTTCCAAAGGTTTCTTCTTCCTCCTCTAGAGGTGGTAGCGTTATCTTTGGTCTTCTATTGTCGCCTGTTATGTTGTTTATAGGCGTTAGAATCGGATTTATTTTCAAAGGTACAATTGAATAGAACGGGATTTTTACGGAACTTTTAAAGTTATTAGAATCTTGGGCAGATTCAATTATCCTAAGGGTGATGTGGTCAGAATTTGATCCAAGGATTCGAGTGCTATATATTAATTTTTAACGTCGAACCGTAATTGTTTGATAGGGGCTAAATTATTGAGCATTTCCGTTATTTGTTCAAAGAGAAGTATAATTTTTCCAGTATAAATTATAGCTACGAGCTCTGCATTAATCCAATTTAAAGTTTATAGGTGTTTGCTCCGATATTGGGTGACAAAAAGGTATAGTCAATTGATGGATTTCTTGCTTTCTGCTATGCTGTTCTATATGGCCTTCTTGAAATTTATAGTAAAGTTCCAAATTAATTCACAATTTAGAATTTATCTCCGAACAACTTTCAATAATGTTAACCCGATTTTAAACCGAAATCAGCTTAACCAAACAACGATTAAATCTAACTAAGTCCCGTCCTAAGAAAGATTTATACAACTATATACTTTATACGATTCTTTGTTTAGTTCAGTTCTATATGGGAGACACGATAAAGTTTGAAAGTGTAACGTGGAACTTTATTAACCCAAGATTTCGGACGTCTCTTCTCAAAACAAAGAGGATTTTCGGGGTTTATATACAAAATTTCTAAATATTAATTTATAATAAATATATCAAATATATCAAATATAATAAAAAATAACGAATATATCAAAATAATAATTTTAATAAATGGTATTGAATATTTATATATTTAATTAGATTAAATTAACCGTCAGATACCAGTTTCAATATCTTAAAAAATGATCGGATTTGTTTGAACAGAATGTCAATAATTAAACACACAAAGAAAAACAATAAGTCGTGTTGGTAGTTGTTTCATTATATTATAATGAGTAAACTCAGGTGTATAGTTTAAGAAAATTTATAAATAGTAACTTAAATTTATTAATGCAATAAAAAAGTAAAAAGTAATTAAAAATTTTGCATTTATCAAATAGAAGAATTTAAATTAATCGAATTAAAAAATTTAAAAACTTTATTATTTGGTTAATTCCTTTTTAATAGATAAAATTTGTACGTTGATTTATTTTTGATGCAAAAGCTATATTTATAAAATCCAAATTATGGTAATAAAATAACTGCGACGAAATATTAGAAAATCCATACATGTATGGAAATATTTGTCATACAATTCATACATAAAAAATCCATACCATACATGATTGCAACTTCATTAATTTTATAATTACTTAAGCTAACAAAATTTCTCCCGATACGATTTAAACTTATAATTTTATTTTGCTTAAACAAATCATATTGGTGTTGCGAACATTAAAAAAAAGAAAAAAAAATTTGAAAGCATTATTTCATTAGATGTCTACATATCGATTGTTATACATGGCATATCTTTTATCACCTTCACCATAACGATCACGAAAACACAAAGCCGCCGAACTCTCATATGCGATCTGCCAGCGTTCAACTTGCTCTGAATCGGAAATCCTGATGAATTTGGTACTAATCACATCAGCATGGAGATTATCGACAACCAAGCTGTATTATTTTGAACGAAATTGTGAGATAATGAATGATAAAATCATAAATATAATATTATTCCTCTAACCTGGACCGCATTAATTTTAAAGTTTTCTCAAGTTCATTAATCCTCTCAACAATAGAGGTTGATGGAACAGAATACTAAAAATTATTGATATGAAGTCAGTTTTCTAGTAAACGCGAGATGGTAAGTGCCATATTGCAAGCATATTGTATGCTAATATTTACCTTATGCTGAATAATTAAATGAACGTGTTCATCAACAGGCTCATTAGAGAACGCTTTTCCAATTTTGTACATTGGAAGCAACTTCTCTCCATTCAGAACTTTTTTGATATCAGTGTCATCTTTGAAGATAGTATCGTTCAATTTGTCAAGAGAAACATTCACTTTCCAGAGGATAAGTTCATTGGCATCTATATTAGTGAATGCATTCTTTTTTTTCATTTTGATAATCTCTTTAAGCTCGCTAATTGTCTCATCTTTACTAATCTCGACTGCAAAGGCATGTTCAATAGGGTCACCTAAAACAAGACAGAAAAGTTTGATACTTAACATATGTATTTTTTTTAAAGCAAAAAAAAAAATCAGTATTTTTCGATGATAAAATAAAAATAATTCCTTTAAGTTTTTGAAGGGAAATTTGACCCATTAATTGGGGTTAATAAAGAAATAATTATACATAAACAGCATTGAATGGGATGGGAAAAATGCGTATATGGTAATAAAATATGTTAATCCGTTTTGATCAACATCCTTTGAGAAACAATTTTATTTTAAATGTGAAAAAAAAAAAATAAATAAAATTTTAACCGGTTAATTACCGGTTAAAAAAGATGAATTTAACTCCGGCCGAAAATCAATTTCCGGCCAGAATTAAGATTTTTTTATGATTGACAAAAATATTGTCTAACTCCTCCGTCCGAATTTATAGCCTAAGTTAATTTTAAACGGTTAAAGAAAGATAAAGAATTTTTGGCTGGTTCCAACCCCTATCTACGCTGCATACATTATTTTGAAAGAATTTTTTTTTATTCATCATATTATCAAGCTCTTAAAAATTATACGAGATTTAAAATTTAAAAATTTTTTTTTTTTTTTTTTTTATTTAAAAAAAAAAGAAATACAAGAGCATGCGAATAAATTTTATATAGCCAAGCGAATTAATATTGTTAGTCAATCATTATAACCGAATTTCTCGCATGCGAATAAATATAGTCAAGAATTATAATCACAATATTTTGAAGGCACCTTGCAAAAAAATGTAAGCAATTGTGAAGGATACATATGCGGAACTTTGACTCACAATTTGCACAGAATACGGCAGGAATCATAAAAACATGAGTGAGGAAATTATTATTAAGAGCGTAATTGTTTGTGGAAAGAGAGAAGTAATTATCGTAAGGAACATATGGGAGGTATGCTATTAAAATCGAGTTACGAACATAGAAAATCATATGATCCGTAATGTGATTTTAATAGCAAACCATATACATTTCCTTTGCTATAGTTGAGTCATATTCCTTTCTAACGTATGTGTCGGAATTTAAATTCAAAGCAATGTTGAATCGTTAAAGTAAGCATATTGCAATATATTATTTACATAAATCTATTCTTAAACTTCTCGATTTTGAAAAAATATGTAATAGTTTTCAAATTTCTCAAGTGAATAACAATTAACTAATGAATAATTAATGAATGGACTATAAAAAAAGAAGTATTTTGCTTTTTAAGATGTATAGAAATAATTATCATCCATTATATCGCAAGAGTATCAATTTTTATCTGCCGGAATCTTACGAATTATTAAAAATAATTGTAGCTTAAATAAAAAAACCATAAAGTTTTATTAAACGAATAAATTAATCACTTTTTTTACTGTTATTATTTTAATAAGTAACTTGAATTTGACATTGGGCATATAAAAATTTAAATGTAGCGTCAAAACTAGAAGTTGGAGTCGTTTAAAGATAATTTAGCCGTTAAAGAAATTTAGGACGGGTCCACCCATCTGGATTCTTGAATTTACGATATAACCATCCATACTGTATATTGCTTTCGATGCTGCGCCACAAAGATTCAAGTTTAAATCAAAAAATTTTTTATTATTATCGACCATCTCTAACTATAAAGTCAGATGCTTCCTTATTTTCTAAGTGATTTTATTAAACTTCTTTGTTAAAGTTATGACACGATTCACGCATAATTTATTCCAATATGATCAAAGAAAGTATTTTATATTCGAAATGCAAACATTTAGAACTAAAATTTTCAGATTATATCTTTTCATGTGTACACGTACCATTTGACAAAATTTATGAATTCTCTTTAGAAAATTGATTTAATGCATTTCATTTATTTTCTTGTCATCTGTTACATAAAATATTGAAAAAAACAAAATGTAAGCTGAAAATAATTTAAACTGAAGAATCAATTTCAAGAAAGTATACACTACAAATATTTTAGCGATGTTCAATATCGGTGTTGGAAGCTTCGGAAAAATTCATCTTGTAAAATGGAGAAGTACTACGCAACATCTAGCTTAAAATTGTTTCATAACTATAGTTAAAGAATTTGTTCGTGAGATAATTACAAATATATAATTTATATTTCGGTCTGTTTGGTATAAAATCATTTATATAGTATAATGTTAATGTTTAAAAATCTTAATCTTCAATGTGAAATAGACGATAATATCCGAGACTTTTCCGAAAACATTTATAAGGATTTGGAAAAGCCAACCACATTTTTATATGGGTAAAAAAGTGGAGTTCTTAAAAAATTTTTGTTCCCCGAGATAAATCTAAAAATAAATATGTAATAAGGGATATGAGAAAAAAAATATTCACGCGCTCAATATATTGAAAACTTTTTCCTCTAAAAAAATTCGTTTCTTTCGTAGCCCTTAATAAAAAAAAAAATAATACTCATAATGAACCGCTCCCACCTTTTAATAAAACTGGCACGGCTTTTTTTTTCTTTAGCGAGTGACTGTCTTCTTATAACTTTGCTTCTGATTCTGATTTCAATTCTTAATCTGTTGGTAAGCTCGCTCTTTATTCTTTTTTTTTTATTTGTTATTTTATGTAGTTTGCATCATCATCGACAAAAGTTTTTCTTTCGTCATTCCGTGGAATATAGACGAATATCCTCATTATGAAAAAATTTCTCCTTCCTAAACGTAACTGATATTCAGATCTGTAGCATTTATTACCTTTACATAAGACTATTTGACTTAGATTCCTATTCCACTTCTTTTTCTAAAATTTAAAAAGATGAGGAAATACTTGGAAATGAACTTTTCCGTGTCCCGATTCTAGGTTTCTTCCTTCCTCCCTATTTCTCACGATAAATTACAACTCATATTGACAAGACTAAAAAAAAAAAAAAATGACCTTAATATTCTTGATTTTATTAGTCAACAATGAAGTGGGAAAATTTGGAAGTAGAAAATACGGTATAGATTGATTTGCTTTTCGTAATTTATCATTTTTTTTTCAAATGTTTCTATAAATGTTGAAATTTATTAATTTCTTTATTTTTTAGACATTAGAATTATGTTAAATATGCTCTCCGTTGACGCTAATCAAAAAAACTTCAGCAATTTTATGAAAACCGTCGTTGATATTTCAGCAATGTAATTTTCATAGAAAATTAACCTATTTAACAATGGTCTTTCTGTCATACATACTCAATCAAAATGAAGCGCAAAAATTCAATTAATAAGAAGTTTATATGGAAAAGTGGAAAATTACTCTCTATAAGTGATATATCTGAGGATTGGATTTGACCTAAAAAAATATTCATTTTATAAGCGATTAATCTTTTCTCGAGTTTTGATTCTAAGATTCGGCTGCAACGATCGGATGATCTTTTTTAATTTATTTCGGGGTTTTTTTATTTATTTTATTTTTTGTTTTTAGGCTCCTCACCTTTTAGATGCGATCACATTGGAATTAAATGGTTAGGATCTTTTTATTTTTATTTTATTTTTTAATTAGTTTTTTATTTTATTTAATCATTCCTTTTTATTTTTGCCTATTGCCTATTAAATCTGTTCGATTATTTGATTATTTCCATTGTGTCCATCGATTGATTAATAGTAGGTTAATAGAATTGATTCCAATCCCACATATGGGAGATAAGCTATTACGGATCATATGATTTACTTTGTTCGTAACTCGTTTTTAATAGCAAACCTCCCATATATCAATATTAACGCATTTGGTTTTTTCTGAATTTAGTATAATTTCTGTTAGAGTTACTGCACATTAAATCGTCTTTTTAGTAATTAAAGAAAAATATAAAATTAAAATTAAGATAAGAAAATTTCTTATTGTACCAGGTCCGCTATCATAAAAAAGAAATCTAAAAAAATCAATAAACATATAAGCCTTACACAGTAGCACAATCGAAAAAGAAAATCATACCAAATCATGACCTGAAAAAAAATTATCTACCAATATATTTATCTTAGTAACGTTAACTGAAAAAAAGAAAAATGAGTTTAGCGTTCAAAATAAATATATAACAAAAAAAAAAAGGCAACCCGAACTGATTTTATAATTCAAAAAAAAAAAAAAAATTACAAAAATCATATTACAACCAAAAAAAGAACAAAAAAAATTATCCTTTATTGTTAAACTTTGCTATGAAATCATAAAAAAACAAAGTAAATTGAAGAATACAATAAAAAAAGAGTTTCCACCGAAAATCTCCCCAGTATTAAAAAAAAAAATTTTTTAATTCTACTATGGTGGTTGTTTTCTCGCAATCTTTTGCTAAATGATCATTGATTTCCCAGTTAAAGCAACAATCTCGATATTTAAAATAAAAAGCTGCATAGATCAGCTATAATATTAACCGGTCAATCAACCGTTCAGTCGATCAGTTAAGGTTTTTGACCGATCGCTGACCACCCATTACCATCTTTAGTAGGCACTTTCTCTTTATTCCTTTATGGGACGATGACGTTGTTGGTGATGAAGTGTTCCAGAAGCTATTATTAGCTTTAAGAACATTTGTCTATATAAAAGAAAATTTAATAAGAAAATAATTCACAAAAGAATAATCAGATAATAAAAAATTAAGATGAATGGCTGGATCATCTGACTATAATCATATGCATATTTTACTTACTTTTTTGCTTATCAAGAGTCTCTACGCGACATCACGGACTTCTTGAGACATTTTTTCATCGTCATTAATTAAACTTAACATTCTATAGAAGGAAAAGTGAGCATCCATTTTATCAACGTTTTCATAGTTGTCAACTAATAAAGTTATATAACTATGTAGTGACCACTTTTCATAAGGAACAAATTCAAAATATACTTTATATGGGATTCTTTCAACCGAAACAGAGTGAGCGTTGATGGCGGACATGTTTGTAATATGTATAAAAAATTTGAAAAAAATTTAAATAGTTTAAAAAAATCTGTAAAAATTTTAAAAAAAGTAGTTAAATAAAAAATTTATAAAAATTTATAAAGAAGTTAAATTTGTAAGGTTGAAATTTACCTTTCGAATATTTGTATCGTTCAAGAAAGAATAGACGCGCTAACTTGTTGCCGAGTCACAAAATTAATGTGATTTTACTGTATTTTCCATTTTTTATAATTTGATATACTTCAGTATGAGGAGTTGCTAAAGGACACGTTCCCAACCTTCAAATTTAAAGAATATTTTACACTTACAAATTGAAGCCCCAAGCGTTATAACAGCCGAAACCATTTGTAAGCCTTTACTGCCTGACAACAGTGATCAAGAGTAAACGAGATGGTGTGTCAGCCTGGAAGAAAAGATATGGCACGAATTACAAAATCATCGAAGACTTGAAGCATTATTTTGTAAGTAAAAGGAATTGTGATAACATATTATTTGTTGTTCATATTTTTTTTAGAAGGAATATTTCTCAAGGAAATGAGAATGATTTATTTTTTTTTTTTTTTTTTGTAAATAAATAAATAAATCGAGTTTTGCAGATCTCTACGTCATGATTACAAACAAATTTTTTTGTACTACATAACGATAATTATTATAATGACTATAAATAACAGAATTAAAAATATAAGAAATCTATGATTAAAATTAGCACACTTTATATTTCAAGTAAAATAATTTTTAAGAACAATTTATAATATTCAATTATTTCATTATACGACAAGTATAAGCTGATACTACTGCTGTGGATTGCGGTAAATATCGTGATATATATATATATATTTATTATTTTTAATGACGGATTTATTTAACTTCCATTTATGGAATATTATTATATTTATATTTAACGATTCCTTTTATTTTCTAAGAAGCGAAGCAAATTTATTTTTTTTTTACGATTCTCAAATCGATTATTCCGCGTCATCAGACTACCCAAGTTTTTTGGTAATTATTTTAATTCTCGTATTAGAATAATTAATTGTTAATATAAAATTCATAATAGCCTCCCTGCCAGGTTTCTGGTCCAAAATTTTCCTTATCTCCCATCGAGGATAACAAATGAAATAAATAATAGAATCTAAAATTATACTTTCGCATAATATATCGCGCTTGTGCATCAGAGTAAACCGTAGTAATTAAGAAGAAAGGTTCATGAAGAAATAAGCTCATGTTAAGTTAATGGACGATTTCCTGAGAGAGAAAGTGACATTCGCAAAGAAGTTATCGATAAAGTCTCAAAACACTTTGACGGCCAAGTATTAAAAAATGTGAATGATACTTATAGAATTTCAATCCTTTTCTAGTATCATCATAGTTAATTATTTGAACGAGACTAGCTCAATTAAACTCGGTTCAATACTCTTCCCAAAGTATAAGGTAACGCTATTTTTTATCTTTCTGTGATATTTTTTTTTCAGGCCACAGCGATTATCTTTCCATTTTTGATGGATTATTCTTTTTTCTAGGTCTTGAATCCCTTCATGATTATAAATTTCATTAGTAAGCATTAATGTATCTTTTTCTTATTCATCACTTATTATAATTAAAAAAGAAACTTGTTTCTCTTTATTAAGTAAATACGGTAATTAAATACTTTGGCATATTCCAATTTGATGTGTGATGTTCCATTATAAACACTAGTTCTATTGTGTCTTGAAGAATACAGGAGAAAATTTCAGCTAGAAAATTTGGTAATTTAATATGTACCAAGGTTCCATCATTTCTCTTTTATTGGTGGAAAAAAATCCTTTGCAAATAAGTAAATAGAACGAACGATTACGAAATTTCCTAACAAATCGCAACCCGAATGCAAACTAGAAACGCTTCACTATTATCGCCTAGGTTGGTATATCGAGGCGAGGGTTATCAAAAGATTATATAAAAGAATGTTTATATTGGGATAAGTTTATTTTGTAATTTATTTTTTTACAGAGGTAAATCAAATTCTATTAAAAATAGGCAATAAAGCTATAAAGTCTAGAAGAAAATGTCTAAAGAAAAATTGATAAAACTGGTTCTTGTTATTATTTGTAATAAACATTTGGGTAAACAATTAACAAGTCTACACTTTGCCAATTTCTTAATTATGCATAATCTAATATTTTACTTTTCCTTTTTTCTTATCTAATTATTTACTCACACATATAAATATAACTAATACGATTTGTATTTAAATTGCAAAGTTTAAAGGATATATTAAAGCACAACTTTGCCTTCGTTTTAGGATAAAAATAATCCAATTTAACAATCAGAGTTTAAATTATGTAAAGCTTATCATAGCTTTAGTCCTCTAAAAGAAACTTGAACATTAGCTAAAAATTTATACAATAGTATAGGAGTTATTCGATTTAGTAAGATTGTTATTTAGGCGTTGAGTTTCTTTAAGAATCAGGTTAGATACTCGTTAAGGATTTTGGTAAATTTGGTAAGCTAGTTACAGAAGTATTTGTACAGTCAAGTCTAGTTAAGGAGATGGGTAATGTTGGTACGATAGATATTGGAGTATCATAGCAATCAAGTTCCGTTAAGGAGATGGGTAAGGTTGGTAGGATAGTTATTGAAGTATAAGAGCAAACAAGTTTCGTTAAGGAGTTGGGTAATGTTGGTAGGATAGTTATTGGAGTACCGGAGCAACCAAGTTCCGTTAAGGAGTTGGGTAACGTTGGTAGGATAGTTATTTGAGTTTCGAAGCAATAAAGTTTCGTTAAGGATTTGGGTAATGTTGGTAAGCTATTTATTTTAGTCATATAACAATTTGAGTTCCGTTAAGGAGTTGGGTAAGGTTGGTAGGAGTATTATAACAATTAAGTTTCGTTAAGGAGTTGGGTAATGTTGGTAGGATAGTTATTTCAGTACCAGAGCAATCAAGTTCCGTTAAGGAATCAGGTAAATTTGGTAAGCTAGTTATAGAAGTAGCTGTACAGACAAGTTTCTTTAAGTAGTTGGGTAATCTTGGCAAGATAGTTATTGGAGTACCAGAGCAATTGAGTTCCTTTAAGGAGTTGGGTAATGTTGGTAAGCTGGTTATCTGAGAATTAGTGCATTCGAGTACTTTTAATTTCCGATATTTTTGCAATCCTCCTAAGACGTTTAATATGTCATCCTTATTAAATTCCGTAATTGTTAAATTTTCAATGATATCATCATAAATAATATCTGATACTTCAATATTTGATCCTAATTCTTCTACATTCTTCTGACCTGCCAAATTAGTTTGATCTTTTATCTGATCAAATCGAAAAATTTGAGATGAATTATTTATACTAGAATAAGCTTCGATGTTATCTGAACGACGTTGTTGTTGAAGATTTGATTCATCATTATTCGTTTGATTATTTTCTTTATGGCATTAGTTATCGTAACAATCAATTGCATTTAATTTATCAACGACTTGATTCATAGATGGACGATTATCCGGCTCATTATCCCAGCACTCTGAAATTAGATTTAATTATTATAAATAATTTCATAAATATATATTTATTATATTTACCAGTGTAAATGTTCACATAATCTTCGGGTGTGCCGGGAATGGTCTCTTCTCTAAGCCCTCCTAAAATTTCGATAGCTAAACCAATATCATATTCTTCATTTTTAACATAAAAAGGAGGATATCCGCTTGATATTTACCACAAAAGTACACCAACACTGTAAACGTCGCTTTTTTCATTTAGTTTAAATGGTGATGATGTATTGTCACCTCTTCGTCTGTTAAAAACTTTCGGGTCAACATAAGGAATTACTCCAAAAGTTTTTGATTGATTAGTTGCTGCTTCAATTCTTTTCGATAATCCAAAGTCGGCTAGTTTAATAAAACCTTGATGAATCAGTACATTGCCGGAATGCTATTATATATGGGGGCTAAGTTATTAAAATCACCTTACGGGACCCCACTAACTAAGATTGAGATTTTTGATTCATATTATTATATGATATATGAACTTTATTTGGTTAAATTTTTATAGTCGATTATCTTATTAACAAAGCAAGCAATTAGGCCGTCAAATTTCTCATTTTTTGTGTAACATCAGTCAAAAAATCTAAAATTAGATTTTAGAAATGATCAAAAAGTTAAAAAGTTTCGGACCTTTATAAAATTCAAATTTTTTTAACTTTAATTAAAACCATTATTAATAGTTTGAATGTATGTTTGAATGGAGGCATTTAAAACCCCAGCAAATATTTTTTTTAAAAAAAAAAAAAAAATAATTTTTTTAATATTAAACTTTTTTTAATAAATTAGTGTAAAATGTCCCGTATGGTGATTTTAATAGCAAAATCTCAAGTGGTACGAAATTGATTTCAAGTTTTACAAAAATTAGTTCTGTAAAATAATTTTTTTAAAAAACTCTTTCTCCTTTCACCCCGAATTTCTAAAATATTAGAAATTTACTGAGAAAATAAAATTGTTTCGCTTTAAAACTTTTATTTAAAATCTACAACT